GCCTTTAGCATGCAACGCACTCATCTCTTCCATGTCTGCCTGCAACCAGAACTCTCAATACTTTGATCGATTCATCTCCCGATTATTCCTTGGAATTGGAACAGAGCTTACATGAATGGCCTTACCATTCTTGTCCAAAATGCGCTCCGTCCGTTGAGCAACATTGACGATATAGTCGTCGAGATAGCGGGGTCGTCGTCGCTTACTGTATTCGCGAAGTCCAGCTCGTGTTTTCTTAGGTCCTGGTTTTTCAGCCCTTTGCTCCACTCGCAATAGCTCCAAATCGGTTTCATCACGATGACTTCGCTTGCCAACCTTAGCAATAGGTAGTGCAGCATTCTCGACACCCATCTGGTCCTGTTCAAGTATTTCCTTAACACTCTCGTCCAGATCGTAGTCTTCGATGCACTCATGTGTGTGACTCGACTCTGAGCCACAGACACTCATCACAGAAAAGCATTCATTACTTTCTGTCAGATCGACCGGGTGACCGTCCACCAATACATCATGTTGGTCATCGTCCTCCAATCCTATTGTCGATCTATCCTTTCGCAAACACGATTGCTGCTCATTTCCGATATCCGACTCGATATCCCCAGCAAACGCCGTGTCTTCGCCCACATCCTCAGTGTCTAGTCCGAACTGAATAGTCGGATGCACCACTGAGGTTTCGTGCCCATTTGGTCCGCTGCATCTCCATTTCACCAGCGGGTAGAGTCTCCTCAATATCCACCACATCACCTACTTCATTTGGTATCGCTGTGCTCACTCCACCAACATCAGTTGCGGTTCCAGAGTTTAACTCCACGGTAATCTGCGATGTTTCCTCAGATTCAACCTCGTGCGTACCAGATCCAACCTCGTGGTGTGTACTCGTACACCCCATCTGTGTATCATCCGCATCGCCTTCTGCATTCTGCAGCTCATGTTGCACAACCCCACCATCATTCTCATTCTTCTCCTCCTCGAGTTCCGAAGGGTCTAAGCCCACGGACTCGTCCAAATCCGTAGAGTAGAGCGAACGAGTGGACTGGCAACTTGTTCTTGCCACACTCATGTCAGCACTGTCCTCTCCAGACGTTTCAAAATGTAATGATTCCAGGTCTGCATCATCGACTGATGCTTCATGTCGATCTTGGTATACTACGTCTTCTGTGACGCGTAAGTCGGCGACAAACTTTGCTGTACGATCTTCGGGAAAGTACACTTTGCAGCCGACTACATCCTCTGCACATCCAAGCACGAACCCGATCTTGGCGTTGTCATGGTGCTTACGACGCTCTGGTTAAATCGGAACGTGAACATATGCAAGTGCTCCAAACGTACGAATGTGATGTATATCGAGTTTCACCCCGAACATTATCTCGAACGGAACACCACCGGTGCCTTTGCTGTACACCCTGTTCTTTATGTAGACCGCATTTTGTAGCGCTTCTGGCCACAAGCTCCTTGGGTACCCAGCGTGATGCATTGACGCCTTGGTCATCTCGATAAGAGATTGATGCATCCGTTCGCATAGGTTGAGTTGTGAGCTCTTGGGTCCTACAAGAATGTGCTCAATTCCATGAGTTCGATACCAGTCTTGCATGGCTTCGTTAATGAACTCTCCTCCTTTGTCCGTCAGTACCTGACGAACTCGGTACTTGACTCGCTCGCCTTCTTCTTCTGAGTTTCTCCCAGCTTGACGCTCTGCCCAGAAGATATAGTCCTTAATAAGCTTATTCACCAGCTCACTTGACTTAGATGTCAGCATGTGCACCGTTACGAAGCGTGAATACCCATCTAGTAGGACCAGAACGGCTTCGAAGCGAGTACCGTTCCCCTTACTTGGGATCAGCAAGGCCAGCATAGATCATCTGATTGGGCTGCTTCAGACCTCGATCTAGCTTCTTCTGATATGGTTTCTTTCTTTGCTTCCCAATATGACAAGCATCGCATGTCGACGCTCCCTGTCTCTGAGTTAGCATCATCCCCTTAACAAGGCTCTTATCTGCCATTGTCTTCAAGTATTGTGGACATATGTGTCCCAGACTCTCGTGCCAGCGTGAAAGTGGAGCCACCCCATCCAACGCAGTGTAGTTACACAGCGATATGTTCGGTAGACTCACTCTTCCTCCTGTCGACGGGTGCCTCACGAAAAACCCCACGTAGCTTCATTTGGCGTAGCTACAATCACCGTTCTTCCTTCGTTGGTAACGTTGAACGTTGACGAAGATTGATCATAATCGAAGTCGAACCCTTGTTCAGCAGCCAGTCCTGGTGAAAGCAGACCAAACTCAGCACCAGGTACATATAGTACGTCGTTCAGGTAAACCACAGTTGATTCACCGTCCACTTCAGTTATTTAGCGCCACAGCTCCAACTCCTGCGATACGAGAAGCCAACGTTGTATTAACCCCGTGTACACTTTGTGACTGACTCGTATCTTCCGTAAATGCACAGAAGTACGCTCTGTTGCCGGTTACGTGCACATTTGCAGCCGTGTCAAAGAACCACCAACCACTGCTCATCTCACCGTTCACACCAGTTCTACCACTGTTGCCCTCGTCGTCCTGTGTGACCTCATCCGTCAGTTCGTCTTCAGACACTCTAACACTGGTCTCCACGCTCGCATCGATCATCATGCGATCTAGAGTACCTGCCACCACACCAACGTCCTCATCTTCCTGATCAGGTTTTGGTCGTGAGCAGTTCTCTTGCCGAAGAGTCACGTTCCCCCGCGGTTTCCGCTTTTCATTTGATCCAGCGCCGCTTGAACGATCCGTCCTCTCTGGACATGCAGCCTTCAAGTGCTCTGTACTCTCACAGAGATAGCACTTCTTCGGCTTCTTCTTCATGAAGTCGTTGTTTTTCTCCCTTCTCGGGTTATAAGCCTTTCCTGCTTTTTTTTCCGCCATGATTCCCTCCGCCTTTATGCCCTCCTCGTTGTCCGCCACCTCCCTTTCCACCAAGTTCGTTCTGTCGAGAAGCCGCTTCTCGAATTAACTCACGAACTTTAGCAGGAGTGAACAAGCTTGAGTCAGCTGCGTAGAGAATAGATGAATTCATCCGTTCGAACTCTGGCTGATCCGGTAAACTTACCAGCAGTGCTTCTACCATGTCGAGATCATCCACATTGTACTGCAAAGTCTCCAATTCAGTCTTGAGGTTGAACATCTTGCTCAAGTGCAGGTTAGTATTCCCACCAACTGCCAATTTAATGCTCCAGAGTTCATTTCTCAGTCGACGAATTGTGTGGGCCTTCACCGTTTTGTTCGCCTTATTTTCGAACAGGTCGCTCAGCGCAGCCCACATTTCAGTACCAGTCGTCCTATCACGAATCTGATGTAGAATCTCTGACGGCACTGACATACCAATGATACGCATGATCTTGGTCTGTTTCAGGTCGAATTCTTCTTCACTCTCACTTGTAGAAAGCATAGATCTTGTAATCTTCTCTTCTACAACGTCACTAAGCATCATCTCCCTGAACACCATCTGCATTGCGAACTTGCATGCCTGCCAGTCCTTTCCGCTCAAGTCCTTAGGTATTCCTTCGAACGTGAACTTTATCTTGTCCACCATCTTGGATCGCTTCTTGTGCAGCAGGAACTCCGCAGTTCTTTTGGGCTCAGAACCCTCTTGGAAGTTGCACTTGATCTGTCTGGCCGGACAGATAGGAAAAGTAGAAGTGAATAAATTAGTTGCTTAAGTTCTCTCACCAAACTCTCACAACCAGTAAAGGACATGCGTCCTATCTCATGCAGAATGTCGTCTCTCTGCTTCTCAGCGACTTGGTCCAACCCCCGTTGACCAGGTCTCACATTGAACTCAGCTTCGACATCGGGTCTTCGATATGCAATCCAACACATGTATGTTGCGAAATTGTCGACCGTGGCTTAACCTCGACAGAAGTTTACTCGTTCGCACTGCATACACTCACTCAGGTCAGAAACAAGACCTGTTTGATCATCTTCTAATTAAAGTGACTGCTGCCGACGTTATTTTGAGCTGACGTCTCACAAATGCATCTTTGCTCTGACTGAGGCAAACGAGAAGAAGATGGAGGTGTCTTTTATATGCGTGACGAAGAGCCTGCTGGAAGACCCAGGCACGTTGCTCTGCGGACTGCACTGAAAGCCAACCAGCATGAATTGGTCGTCCACATTTACAAGTACATGACTCAAAATGATGTGGTGCCGACCATGGACATGTACGGCACGATGTCAAAGAGCCATATCCGCGTACATGACCTGAAAACGGCGCTTGGCGTTTGAGCGGGATATAGCTCTGACAGAAAGCGCCGCACCAGTGGGGTGTGGTCCAGAGGTTGGAAAATGTTTATATTCTTTAAAAATTTTGTTTTCATTTACATTACAATACAGGAATTATTAATAATGTGGTATTTTGACCAATTATTGCAATAAATGCATTAGTCCCACTTTGATTTAAACTTAAATTTTGCTAGTCAATTTGTATTGCAGAATATTATACATATTTATAAAGTATTGGAAGGAAGAAGGAGCATAATAAGTTTTTCCGTACAAAAATACAATGGTTATTTTATTGATTGTATTTTTTCCAACCTCTGGTGTGGTCCTTGCTGTCATGAGAAAAGCTCAGTACGAAACTTTGAAGGATATGTATTCTGTAGCCTTAGGAGAAGATTCGCAAGTTTGGTGTGGCCCTTGATATCTATTAATACGCCACCATACCAATGGAACTTCGCCACCAGCTTCAGGGCAACAATCAGATTGCGCTTTTTGGATTAGCGAAATCCGATGTTCTCGCCCAAGCTGAAAAATATGTGCGCGAAAATAGGAAATAAGACGACCGAGAACAGTGGTTTGTCGAACAGGTTTCCTGGACTATATCACACCGAAAGCCAAGTAGCTCGAGCCTTTGAGGGAACAAATTACACGTGAAGTGCACAACTTATTAAAAAACAATGCGCAGGTATCGAAATCAAAGAAAAGTGAATGTATTGCGGAAATGTAAAGAGTTGAAGAAAAACGAGGTATCTAGCGCTTCTGTTTGTTGATGAAGCGCATAGCCAGCAATCCGAAGACGCGGTAGATGGCAATGATAGGGACGACCACTGCGAAGTTGCGCGCAATTCTATCGTGTTTCATGCCGAAGTGATCCTCCGTGTACTCCTTGAGTGTCGTGTGCCCCTCCGTCACTGGTGCATTTGCCATCGGTTTGCAGCCCAACTGCGAGCCAACGTTGACGTATGACTGCGCAGTTTCATCCCACGTCGGAAGATCGTCACACTCTGCGAATACCAGAGACACCATCGTGGATAACGGGTACTTGGGAGGTGAAATCTTGTACAACCACGTGTAGCCCGATGGGATCGCCTTGGCCGGTGGGGTGAAGCCCATAAACATCATGGACACAGTGTTCAGCATGTAGCCTGCCACAATTGCCACTTCCTCGGTCGGGAACACGAACGCGAGCATCTAACCTTGGTAGACTTGCATCAGAGTCATCATCGAGTACGCCAGCCAGTAGACCACTGCCGGCCAGTCCATTATTAATGATAAGGACAGCCTGGATTCAGTGACATATGACCGTATCCAATACTCGTTGAAAGCTCGGGAGTGACGCCGTCGAGTCCCTGGCACCTTGGCGTCTCCGTACATCACCTGACCGAGGGTTCGTCGCTTGAACATTTTGGGCGGTGTCACGTCTTTGTCGACGGGTGATAATCCGCAACTACGGAGAAATCACTACACCACAACTGCCCCTGTCGCAATGGAAGCAACGGTACTGGTGCCCGTTGTGACATTTCTTCATTCTTCAATTCACCATCTCGCCACCTTATGTCCAAGCGTCTGAATCGAGCCGTGTCCGACGCGTTTCAGCGTCTCAATCCTCGTAGACGTCGCGAACGTGAACAGCTGGAGGTACGTCAGCTCATCCTTCTCTTGAATCATCGGTACCTTGCTCATCACCTCGCATTACTCGACTTGTTTCTCAGGAGGGCAAGACCGAGGGCTCGAACACCCCTCCGTCTGCTGCACTTCCTCTGACAGCAGCGTCATCAACCGGCCGTCCGGCGCCTGCTGCCCCGGACTCTTCACTCCCTGCGATAGCTCCTGCAGCACTACCCGTCGTCGCTGAGTCCGCGGAGATGACTCCTGCTACTCCTCCTGCCCCAGCTGGTGGTGCACCACCACTCACCGAAGATTCGCTGCGCGCCATGCTGGCTGAAAGTACGGAGGCATCGGTCGATCACATGATGTCCTCGATAATTCCGTACTTGACTGCAATGGCTCGTCACCAAGTGCAGCTCAGCGTTGCGCCTCCTCTCCACGGCGATGTACACACTCAACGTCGCCTCGAGACTGCTGTTGGTTTCGATGATGTCCTCGCTGCATGTTCCACGACGTTCTCCAGCATCTCAGCTAGCTGTTGAGGGGTCCAGCGAAGCTTCGTTTCCTGTGGTCGCTCCCCGGTCGGCATTCATGTTTTCTTATTCTTAATCCACTTCCACAGCGTAATCATGTTCATGTTGTTCTTCAAATGCATATACAATTTGTTGTTGCAGTAACGTTTTTCGTCTGTTACCACAGGCTGCATCGCCCCGTGGACAGTTCACACGTGATCCAGTCACGCTAGTCTTCGTCCGCCACTTGTGCCATCTGCAGCCGATTCTCGCTCTTCTTGGCTCGCAAATAGTCGTACAGCAGACCTCCACATGACAAGTTGGATGCTGGTTCCCAAGTTGGATCTTCATAACCCACCCACTTGACTTTGAACTCACGTACAGCACGCTCCGTGCTCGTCGACAGTGGTGTTCTGTCGTCGAGGATGGCCTCGATTTCATATTCACCGGCAACTTGATCTGGTTCCCAGCTGTCCTCAGGCAATAGTTCCTCATCGAAGTCGAGTCTTGCTTCATTAGTCGCGTCATGTACCAGCCAAGTGTTCGGTCGACTGTTGAACTCGTTGACAGCCTTGAGTCTCGACACATGCACTACTGGGTAGAAGCGATACCCACTTCGGTCAGGCAGTTCCAGCTCGTACGCAAACCCCTCCCACCTTGCGCTTGATCCGAAAAAGGTCCATGCCACCGGTGAGCTAATTTCTTCGTCAAACCCGGTTTGACGCGTTTCATGTACAACCACGCCCGGCTCCCAATCTCAAAAAGAGATCTCGGTGGGGCTCTTGCAGGATCTTCCATCTCTTCCGAAGCTTCTGGAGGATCCGCCGAGTGTTCGTTTCCACTTGGTTGAGGTACAGCGGCCTTTTCCAGTCGACTCAGGACATCATTATGTTTTTTAGCCCCTCGCTCCTTTTCTACAGCCTGATAATCTTTGGCCATAGTGAGGGCGACCTCATGTTGTCAATTGATCTCACGCCGCCACGCCAGTGCGTCAGACTGCTTGCCGAGTCCTCGTTTGAGGGATGACGACATTGCCCTCAACGTCGACTGAGCATCCCAACCGTGAACGAGGTAGAACGGTGTTTCCTTCCTCGTAGTGTCTTGAGAAGTATTAATAGCAAATACCAGCTTCTCCGCGATTTCGTCCCAATCTTGCTGTAGAGGGTCTTCCGCGAACACCCGTACGGAACCCATCACCGACTTCACCGAGCGTTCCTGCTGTCCATTAGCCTGTGGCCGATAGCGCAAAGTCGCTCTTGATCTTGACTGCATCATCTCTGCAAATGCTTGGAACACCTCGCTCATGAAGCGTGGGTCACGGTCGTGCCTTATCAGTGATGAGGCTCCGAGCGGTCGGTACACACATTCTTCGAGCACTTGGGCAACACTCAGTGCAGTTGTATCCGACATAGCCTTGGCAATATCGAATCCCGTGAACGAGCACTGAAATAGGAGCAACGCCGTGTGCCGA